ACAAAAATTCAATCCAATGTAAAATAATTAAAATTAGCTGTTGTCTTTTAAAAGTAGATTCAATAATCTAACTTTATCTTATATCTATATTCTTTTTTTTCTTTTCAGGGTAGATTCAATAATCTACCCTTTTATCCTATCATATCTGTATCCCCCTTTTTTCTTTTCAAAACAAGAATCTAATCTCCTTTGTTTAGCTTTTTTCCGGACCATTAACAATAACAATTTGTAACCAAACATCCTAAAGAAGGACAATTATCCATAACCCATTGAATGACCAAAAACCACCTACCCCACCTCTTGGGAATGTGGGCATTGTGTTCTTAAATTTACTTCTTGCTGTCTGTGGGAGACAGCATCTTTAGAGGATCCTGGAAAGAAACTTTTGGGTTAACTGTCAAGTCCATGGAGAGGTAGCTGTATCATTTGTTGTCCAGTCTGTGCATAATGGGAAAGTACAAGGCTTGTCTTAAGTCCTGGCTAGAGTAGTCTGTGAGGCTAGATTGACTCAGCTAGCCCTCTCAAAATTTTCCTGTGCAGTTTGTAGTCCAAAAGTGATCTTCAGGTAGTGTTTTTCAGCTTGGTGACATTATCACAGTCCTGGTGTAATAGACATTATGGGGCTCCATCATCCTTTTGGAGACTTCCAAGGTCACTTTTAGGCATGGTCATAGCTCATTGCAGAAAACTGATAGAGACTCAAACCCAAAATCATGTACAGGAAGCTAGATGAAGACTTTTTTTTTCTTGCAGTGGTAATATGTATAACCATTAATATCATGACAAAAGTTTAATATACACAAATATAATAACCTTATAAATATATAAGGTTTGATATAAAACTCATACCTTGAGAAAAGTTTTAAAGTGTCAAAAATAAAACCAAAGGATCATGAGATTAATAGCAATAGACTAGTCCCTTAATTTTGTTTTTATCTTCTGTTCCCTACCAGGTGGCTCTCCTGATGTAATACAGAGATTTTGCATTTTACTTTAACAGGCATGCTTGGGTTTAGAGAAGGAGAGAGCTATACTCCAATTCCCAAGCTAGTTTAATTTTAATTGAACTGGGACTACATAAAGACCATTTGTGTTATGTGTCTATAGAGAACAGCAGAAATAAACATTTATAAAGATTTATGAAATTTTATCCAGTTTTAGATGTAATAATAGACCAATTTACTCTCTTTCTTTGGACATTTTTTCTGGATGATTGTCCTTTTTCTTCAGATGTCTCATTTGTGCAGTGTTCTTCAGATTATTTAGCCTTAATTCTCCTGAAAGACAAAAACAAAACCCTGCCCCAACCCTAAATTTGGGGATGTTCCATTTTGGCAAGTTACAGATCAAATGAAAAGCATTTGTTAGTCATATAAGTTCATTTAAATTGAATGGTCATGCTGGTTGTGAACCTCTTCTAATTAAAATGTCTCCCTTTTTCAAATTGAACCTTTATCAATTTTGATGGTATCCATACCTTTTTCTCTCCTGTGGAAACAAAGGCAAAACCTTGTCCCCAATGTAACACATTTCCTGGTTTCCATTCTGAGGTCACCATATCTGATATGTGTTATATATAAAGGTTGATTCCTAATTTTGATTATTTCTTGTAACTGAATAAATAATGAAGTTAACTCTGACTCATCAGGAATACATTCAGCAGTTTCAATGTAGAAAACAACTCTTTCTGCATACTGAGAGTCAGTATCTATGTTAAGAGGTTCCATAAAATCCATTAATACCATCAGAATGGCATCTAATTCTGACTTCTGGAAATAATTATAAGAACTTTGAGCCATTTTACTTAAATTTTCTCATTTGTAACCTGCCTTGCCTGATTTGTTTGCCTCAGTATAAAATGTAGGGTCTCCAGGTATTCATGTTCCCTGTACTGTGTGAGGCAGGATCCAGTTAGTTCTCATTATCAATTGAATTCTATTGCCTTTGGGATATTTGTTGTTAATTTCTCCCAAAAAAAATTTACTGCAAGCTCTTTGCTAAGATTCGCTTTCTTCCCATAATTTGTCAACTTCATCATTGGTAAAAGATACTAGAATTTCTGCTGGGTTTATTCCTGCTAGCTGGCAAAGTCTCAATTTTTCATTTAGAGTTAATTCAGAAACATTTTCCATGTAATTTTTTAATATTTTACTCTTTGTGGTAAAAAGATATATTCTAAGATAATATCTTCACTCTGCATTAATATTACTGTAGGAGAATGCTTAGATGTCAAAATAATCAAAATAAAATCAAGCTTTGGGTACAAACAATCCAAATCTGCATCTTGTATTTTCTTTTAAACCAAAGCCAATTCTCTCTCAGCTTCAGCTGATAATTCTCTTGGACTGTCACCATCTAAAGTTTTGAACAAATTACTCAGTTCATCATTTTTTACCCCAATAGTGGGGCATAGATAGGAAATGTGTCCTAGCTATGTTTGAAAGTCATCAAGTGTCTGCAATCAATCTGTACTTATTTGCACCTTTTGGGGTCTAATTTTTTGTAGACCTATTTTATATCCAAGATAATTAATAGAATTTCCTCTTTGTATTCTTTTAGGAGCAATTTGTACTCCTCAACAAGGTAAATTTTGCTTTGCTTCTTCAAACATTTCTCTAAAGTACCTATATTTGAGTCAGCTAATAAAATATCATTCATGTAATGGTAAACTATAGATTGAGGCAATTGCTTACAAATTACTTCCAACAGATGTCATACAAAATGTTGGCACAGGGTTGGGCTATTAAACTTTTCCTTTGAGAGAGCCTTCGATTGATATCTCTTAATGGGCTGAGAATTGTTATAAGTAGGTACCATGAAAGCTAATTTTTCTCTGTCTTTTCCTTGTGAAGATAATAAAGCACTCTTTTAAATTGACACCATTCTTTAGATAACAAGGAAAGTAAAGGAATTCCAGGCTGTGGAGAGCCCATTGGCTGTATCACCTTGATAACAGCTCTTAGATCTCTTACCATTCCCCATTTTCCAGATTTCTTTTTAATAACAAATACAGGAGAATTCCTAAGGCTGGTTGATTCTTCAATATGCTGAGCATTCAACTGCTCCTTTATCACCTCTTCTAAGGCCTGAAGTTTCTCTGTTGTTAAAGGCCATTGCTCAACTGTTAAGGCCAGGCTTAACTGTTAACCACTTTAAAGGTAGGGCTATTGGTGTCCTTGAAAGACCAACAACTTTTGTGCCTTTTTCTTGTACAACCTGAATGGTCAATGACTGTTCTTTATAATACCCTTCTAACATTTTCCCCAAAAACATGTTTGTTTCTGAGATTGGAGGAATGTTAATCTGGGTATTCCAGTGCTGTAATAAATCAATTTCTTGAGTGTTGAGGAATAGTTCTATTACAAGTTGACCATGAGTTTAAAATCTGTTTCACAAATAGTGAGTACCATATGAGGCTATTGCTTTCTTGAATCTCCTCAAATCTAACATTTGCACAGGTGTCCATTCAGCTCTTATACAGACTTGGGGATTCTATCATTTGGCAGTTCTTATAAAGTTACTGGATAAATTAAGGTTGGCTGTTTGAAGTATTAGGCTCTTATTCTGTAACATTATAATGAAATGCTGAAATTGGGTCTCCTTTATGTGGTGATATCTTATCTGTATGTTAATAAATAAGTTTGCCTGGAGATCAGAGGTTATAGTGAGCCATAAACATAAGTCAGGTGGTGGTAGCACATGCCCTTAATCTGACCACATGGCAGGCAGAGTCTCTGTGCGGTCAAGAATACAGCCAAACTTATTTAATCCCAGTACCAACCAAAGAGACCTGGAGGTCTGTATAGACAGGCAGTGATGAGGAAGTCATGTGGCAGGGCTTAGAGTCAATGAGAAGGCAGAACAGGAAGACTCAGTTTAGCTCAGTTTAGACAGGAAGAAGCTCTCTATCTTTCAAGCCTACATTCATTTTTACACACACTGTAAACTGTTTAGAGGTTTATCCCATCTGAATCTGTCTTATAGTGAATCTATTGCTTTAAACTGCAGCATTTTCCACCCACCTCAGCTTCCCAACATGGCGGTAGTACGTTTATCGCCAGCTCTGGGTCTGAAGCCATGTGTACCATCACTCTCAGAAGCAGTGGGTCTATACCTCCATTGAAGCAACATGTAGCCCAGAAACATCTTTTTTGGTCTGTACTAGCAAAGGCTAAATCCATCACACAGTATAATGTGTAGCTTGCAGACACCTCATTCCCACCATGCTGTAGGTGGGAATGAACACACCACGAACCCACCATAGAGTAGCTCAAGGCTGCAGGCTGCCGCTAACTTGAGAGAGACAACTAGGAAGCTGTTTTTAGCTCCGTTTTAGAATCTCCTTTCTCAGATTTAGGTGGAAAGTCTTACCACACATTCTGGTGCCATTTGTAGTTGGAGTTTTCTCCAGTCCCAGCGGGGCCTGCAGCCACTCAGACCCAAGTAAACACACAGAAACTTATATCACTTATGAACCGTATGGCCATGGCAGGCTTGTTGCTATCTGTTCTTACATCTTAAATTAACCCATTTTTATCAATCTATAAGTTGCCATGTGGCTTGTGACTTACCAGTACTTTTACATCTTGCTTCTCATGGTAGCAGCTGGCAGCATCTCCTGACTTAGCCTTCCTCCTCCCAGAATTCTCCTCTCTGCTTATCCTGCCTATACTATACTTCCTGTCTGGCTACTGGCCAATCAGCATTTTATTTATCAATCAATTAGCAACACATTCATAGCATACAGAAAGACATTCCCAGCACTTCCCCTTTTCTTTTTTTCAAAAAGGAAGGTTTTAACTTTAACATTGTAAAATTACATATAACAAAACAATTATCAAACAAGAATTATAGTTACAATATCTAGTCTATTTATAATATCTAGTCTATTTGTATTTGGTAAAATTAAAGAAGATATCCTTTCTATTCTATATTTGTGAGTCACACTTGCAGGCAAAGCACGCATACACATTAAAAGAAATAGAAAGCTTTTCCCACTCTTACATTTGCAAAATTTTATTTTAATATAAACTCTAAGATATTGTTTAAGAGGTAAACCTTCATTAAAGACTTTCACAAGTTTGTGATCTTAATGTTTCTATTTTATGGACTGTTGTGACTTGAAAGCAGATAATACTGGAAAATGATATGTCACATTATTTACAATGGTATGTTTCTCCCCAGTATGAATTTTCTAATGTCTTCTAAGACTCAAAATCAGGATAAATGATGTGTCAGTCTGTGCATTTGTATGGTTTCTCTCCATTATGAACTTTCTGATGTGCTCTAAGGTAGGAGCACCTTGTAAAAGATTTGTCACATTCTTTACAACTTAAAGGTCTCTCTCCAGTATGAACTCTCTGATGTCTTCTAAGATTTGACTCCTGAGTAAAGGACTTGTCACATTCCAGACATTTGTAAGGTTTCTCCCCAGTATGAACTATCTGATGTCTTTTAAGAACTGTGAAACTGGTAAAGGATTTGTCACATTCCTTACATTTGTAAGGTCTCTCTCCAGTATGAACTCCTAGATGTTTTATAAGACTCGAAAGATCAATAAAGGATATTTCACAGTCTTTGCATTTGTGAAGTTTCTCTACAGTATGAATTTTCTGATGTGCTCTTAGAGATGAGTATCTAGTATAAGACTTGTCACATTCCTTACATTTGTAAGGCTTCTCCCCAGTGTGAACACTCTGGTGTGTTTTAAGGGTTGAGTGCTGGGTAAAGGATTTGTTACATACTTTACATTTGAAAGGCTTTTCACCAGTATGGATTCTGTAATGAGTTTTAAGATGTGATAATTCAAGAAAGGACTTACCACATTCTTTACATTTGTCTAATTGCTCTGGATAATGAGTTTTCCTATGCCTACTCAATGATGAATAGTGGGGAAAGGATCTGCCACACTCATTGCATTTGAAAGGCTTCTCTCCAGTATGGACTCTGGAATGATCCTTAAAGTGTGAAGGATGATGAGAGACTTTGCCACATTCTTGACAAATATAATTTCTCCCAACAATATGCATTTTCTGTTGTTTCTTGAGAGTTGAAGAGTGGGCAAGGGAATTGTCACATTCCTTATATTTGTAAGGTTTCCCTCCATTATGCAACTCCTGATGGCTTTGAAATGCTGACAACTGATGAAATGATTCTCCACATTCTTTGCATCTGTAAGGATTCTCCCCAGTATGAAGTCTTAGATGTATATCAAGACTTGAAAGCTGGGTAAAGGATGTTTCACAAACATTGCACTTGTAGGGTTTAATTCCAGTATGAATTCTCTCATGTTCAGTGAGGTATAAAGCAGTCCTGAAGCATTTCCTACATTTCCCACATTGGTATGGTGTCTCTCGAATTGCTTGTTGCAAAAGACTATATGCAGAGACAAAATAGTCATCATATTCTCCCTGCCTATGCTCCTTTGCAGTGTAGAGTCTCTGATTTTGAGTAATGTTGGAACACAAATTTAAAGATTTCTCATGGTCTTCAGATTTGCAAGGTTCTTCTCTAGTGTGCATACTTTCATGTCTATCTAGGTTTGATGAGTCAGTAGAGGCATCCTTGTTGTTACTACATGTGTAGTTATTACAGTTTTCTGTAGTTTCACATGTTTTATAAAGTGCACATCTGGAGTGGTCATGAAGCACTTTCCCAAGCTCCTTATACTGACAAGATTCCTTTTCAGTCTTCAGATGTTGATGGACAGGATCACATTTGCAATAGTTCTCTGAAAATGAGCACAATTCAGATTAATAGGGCTTGTTCCAATGATAAGCATGTGATAAATGACTGTTCTAAGTTCTCTTTTAAGATAAGTGAACTCAGAAATACTTAGATTAGAGCTCCCAGTAATGGACATTTTTCATTCACTGTAATTGTATGGATACTCACAACAATACCATGAAAGCCTTTAAGGGTTAATGATTTTAACAGATATCTCATCTTTATCAAAAATCTCTAACTGAGACAGGATGGAAAAATAATTATGGGTATGAATTAGCTTTGGGATAGAGCTAACTAAGTGGTTATATTTGGAATATATGTCTCTATCTTAAATATGTCTTCTCAGAAATTGAAGAAGATGAATTTAATCCAATCCCAAGTTCACAGTATTTACACTTACTAAGTGATAGGCAATGAAGAGAACTATTCAGAACACTCAATTCCTTTTTTTTTTTTTTTTTTGGTTTTTCGAGACAGGGTTTCTCTGTGTAGCTTTGCGCCTTTCCTGGGACTCACTTGGTAGCCCAGGCTGGCCTCGAACTCACAGAGATCCACCTGGCTCTGCCTCCCAAGTGCTGGGATTAAAGGCGTGCGCCACCAACGCCTGGCTCATCTCTGAAGTCAATTCCTTTAAGATTAAAGAATTCCTTAAAAGCATCACAGGGTTTATTTTTCTCTCTAGAAAATACATTAGATTCTTAAAAAGTAATGGATGCAAAGACAGTATTATACCAGACATCAGAGGCTCTAGATAGTTTGAGGCAGGGCTGTCATGGGCACCTGTTGCTTATTTTTATCCTCCACTGTCTGAGCTCCACACACTGCTGTGTTTCTTAACTTTCCTCACAGGGTTATTCTCAAGTCCACGCTGTACACTGACTTCTGAGACTATTTCCCAGAAGGGTGTATGCGTATTCTCCACTGAGAAGAAAATGAAGGATATAATATGAAGATGCATACAAGGATGGCAATTACTGAATAATTCTACTTTATGGACCTCACATTAGACTTAAAATTCATAAAATTATTCCTATCTGATTTCTGCATAGTTAAATAAAATTTCATTTTGTACTAGTATTAAATCACCATCACTCAGGACTAATAAGACACAATGCCTTCTGACCATTATTTCAACAGACAGGATGCATCCTGGGGCAGCATACTACACTAAGTTAAATGACCACAAATACTTTCAAGTAGAATAGAATATGGCAAAAATTTCCCAATTCTTGCTTTCTCCTTCACTTGAAGTCTTTACTATTCTCTTGCTCATTCATTAGCCCACCCTAGTAGTGACTACTCTCTATTCCCACATTCAAGAGCAATCTCAGTCTTTCTGTATAGGTGATCACGCCTACTTTGCATACATAATCCACCTGTTCTTCTGAGGCAGCCCATGACCCATGATAGAACTTTTACAAAGAATGCAGAAGTCTAGAACAGTACCTCACTCAGTAATTGAAAACACAAAGCAGAGGAATTTAGGCAAGATTTCTCAATTGATATTTGTAGTCAAATACCAAAGTACATTTAGCATTTTCAGTTTGTGTATCTTGAATTTGTCTCACAAATAAAACCATATAATTGCAATAATGGACATGGAGATTTAAGATATGAGTGAAAATATTATATGCTACTGAGTTTATGGATGAATCTTGGAACCAAAATGAAGGACAGATGATACCTCTGAAATAGAAAATGGAAAGAGAAAGCTAAATAGCATACAAAAGTTCTTTCCTACTATTAAACTTTGTCTCATCTCCTGTTGGTTTTTTCAGGACAGCCTAACACATTTTACATCTTGTGAAGGCAGAACAAACAAAAGATGGGTAGGAATTCTACAAGCAAAATGTTCTCACCCACAAAGACCAGGTTGTTGTAATTCTCCAACATCACATCAATGTACAAAGCCTTCTGAGCAGAGTCCAGGCATTCCCACTCCTCTTGGGGGAAGTCCACAGTCACATCCCTGAATGTCAACAGACCCTGAAACAAAAGCATATGGTTTCAGCATGTTCTACCTGTAAGTACTTTCCTGGATATAATGAGACAGAATGTAGATGAGCAAAGGTATACTCAAAGAGAAGATTTCTAATACGGTCACATTCTCTCATGAATATTCTCACTCTATGAAAACAGGATTAAACAACAACAGTCTTACATGCAGTGTACATGAAACAAGAAACACATTATGGTTAATGTTAAACATATTAACACATGTCTCAGAAGGAAAATTCACAATGAGGAATAAGCTTTAAATGCTGTAGATCATGCTAAAACACTGATGTAAAACAATCCTGTGTGAACTGGGGCCTTACATAACTCTATTCTAATAGGCTTAGTTGGGATGTTTAAACTATAGGTACAATGCCACACCATTAAATAGCACAGAGGTAGGTACAGAAGATACAATGTATGACTGATTTTGTAGATAAAGAGTTTTGGTTTTTTTCCACAGTAGCAAAGATTGGAACAGCACTACAAACTGTCATTTTAACATTAACACCTAAGATAAGAAGTATAGCAATTAATTTTATGAAAATATGTGGGTCATTACTAACAGACAGAAAAGTCTGCATCAGGCATATTTGATATAATTCAAAATTTCCCTAAGATAATGCATAAGCCAACAGAGACAAATAATAATTTCAGAAGCTTGGAAGAATATTTCACTTCACTCCCAAAGAGTAATAAAAATTGAGAGAAGTCCAAAAACACACCAAAAAATGTTTAATGTATAGCTAAGAGAATTTGTACCAGTGACATTTTAGATAAGGCACATTGCAAGAATTTACAAAAATTACATTAATTAAATACCAAGGAAATAAAATTGCAAATCAACAATGAACTAAATAGACATTTTTCAAAGTCAGAAATTCAAATAGCCAACAAACATTGCAAAAGCATCCAGGATTCCAGAAAGACCACCATGGGAGCACAAATTAAAACTTCTAAGAAATACTGCCTCATCCCAAGCAGAATGGCTGTCATCAACTAACCTGACAAAAAATGTTTGAGGGGATATGGAGAGAAAGGAAAGTTTATGCACTGTTAATGGAAAGGAGGATACAAATTAATACAGCCATAGTGGGAATCAGTTTGGAGATTATTGAAAAAACTAAAGAGAGAACTTACATATGACCCAGTTCTTCACTCCTGGCCATTTACTCATAGAACAACACACCCCACTACAGACATATTTATAACCCATGCTTACTGTTGTTTTAATCACCAAAGGAATGGTATTGGAATTAACCTAATTATCTATCAAAAGATGGATGGATAATGAAAATTGTAGAAAATGGCAGACAATTCAGCTATAGAGAAAAATAAAATAAACATTTTCAGGAAAATGAAGGGACACAAAATATGTAGAATATGTAATGTTAAGTACAGTCATACACTTTTAGAAAGAAGACACAACGTTTTCGCTCATATGCAGAATCTACCCAATAATATATGTATATAGAAACAATGTATATGTGGACACAGTATAACATGAAGAAAAGAGAACAGAAAAAGTTAAATTATCAGGGTCTGCAGGTAATGAATACCAGTTAGGAAAAAGGATATAAAGCTAAGTGCTTTTCAAGTTCTAATTCTGTCAAAGGTTTTTGGGGTTTTGATGGCAGATAAGGAAATCAAAATATATTTGATTGTGAAAATATAAAAATCCCATGTGAGGCTCCAGAGCTTCTGCTCCCTATGATGACTCTATATAAAAGTTGTATAGTCTTTGGGTCTGCTTAATTTTGGCATGTGATTTTGTTGTTTCTCTGTTTGAAGAATTGCTCATAATAAAACTTCAAAAAATTATCAGAAGCAGAAAATTAAACGTTTTAATACATCAAAGTATAACATTTTAGGATAAAGAGTGGAAAGGACCACTGACCTGCGACACGTTTACTGGAGAATCAGCCATTTTTTACAGTTTCTCTTCTTTGAGTTTCTCTTTCAGGAAAAATGAATAGATGGACACTTCCCTTTCAAATCAAGGGGACAAAATGGAAGAGTTAAAATTAATACTAAAAGTTGTTAGAGAACACTGTCAAACCACATGGAAAGACCCAAGCAATAGAATTCTACCAGGTGTCTAGTTAATGATCCCAAAGACAGGAGAGTATGAAAAGACATTTGAGGCTTGAATAGAAAATCACCATCAAGTATCCTGTAGCACAAAAAAAACTACTCTCTTAAAATTGATGGAAACATAAGTGCATTTCAAGATAGTCAGCAATTATCACAATAGATTTCACTAAAGCAGCACTCGGGTAATAAATTAAAGGCAAAATTTACACAGGAGAGTCAGAATCATCCATGAGAACAGGAGCAATAATAAATTTCATGTGAAGAATAGAGAAATACAGGAGACTTGGGAAGTAATCATCCATGAGCAACACAGCAAACCACTATTTCTCAAAAAGGAGGAAAAAGAATAGTACTAATAATCCGACCAGCAACAACATAAACAAAACCATAGGAAATAAAAATGCCATAAAAAAAATAGCCACACTAAAAATAAAAATAGAGAATCCTCAACTAATGAAACAAACCCTGAAGTTAAATAAATTCAGCACATGACTTTCCTTGGTATAAGCTCAAGGGACTCAACATCCTACTCCATAGATACTTGCTCAGCCATGTTCATTGCTGCTCTAGTCATAACAATTGGATAATGAAATTGTAATACATATACATTATGGAATACTATTCATGTAAAGAAAACTGAAATAATGAGCTTTGCAGCTAAATGGATGGACTTAGAAAAGATCATATTGAGTGAGGCAACCCAGACCCAGAAAGAAAGACACTGCATGTTCTCTCTCATAGGAAGTTCCTAACTCCAAATCTTCAGATGTGAGTCCACAACCTGGAGTGACTGCAGTGACCAGAAAAGTAAGAAGAGATCACTGTGGGGTGTGGGGGAGTAACAGAGATGGAGTAACAGGGACCAAGTGATCTGAAGGGGGAAATTGGATAAAAAGGGGGAGAGGGTGAGGATTTAACTATGGAGAAGGAACAGAAATAAACAGAAGACAGAGGGTAAGAACTGTAAGGATGTCTGGAAAATTCATAAGAAATCCATCTATTCCTTGACTATTATCCATCCATCAAAAAAAAAAAAAAAAAAAAACTCCTATACTACATAAAAGTCTCTGTAAGCATATACATTTTGAGTGTAAATGAAAATTTCCCAACTGCCCTGATGATGCTCCTCACAAGAGCCAAAGAATTTCTAACAAAATGACCAAGACCAGGTATAAGAAGCCTGCTTTGAAGTTGTTGGTGAGAGTTGTCCAAGAGACTTCCAAACATTACAGGGTATTGCTGTTGCCCATGGGTCCCTCCCAGAGGCAGAAGTTGAGTCCCTAGTGTTTAAGAATCCACACACTTCATGCACAAATCCTAGAGGACTGGAAATGGAACTGACCTTAAAGCCTCCTCCCTGGGGATTAGCTTTCATGGTATTAGAAGGCCACATGTAACCTTCCCAAGGAGGGAGCCAACTAACTGTCCTGCCCAGTTATGACACCTATGAACCACAACAATAATCTGTACTGCATGATAGTCCTAAGGGCGCAAGAGTGTCACACATAATTATGTTGTAATAACAGCTTCTAATTGGATTAAGACCCTCTCAACAAGGCATCCCTGTACTGGAAGCATAGCCTGTTTCCCTAGGGCTAGTAAAGGCATGGATCTTGGAGGAGAACCTACAACCAGTATTTTACTAAATCAGCATAACTCCTAGTGCATTCTAAATATTTATCCTAATTTCCAATAGGCAATAGGAGACAGTATAGATAGAGTGTAGCAAGGTGTAAATATAGTTTCTGGTTCTTATCAAAACTCTGTTGGCATTATTTTCAAGTACAGAGACATTAAAAAAAAGGTAGAGAATGTGCTAGAATACCAATGCTCCAAAATTTTGAAAACGGTAAATAAACCTATTGATATTAATCATTATCATTTTCATAATACATTAAAATCAAAGAAATGAAAATGAGTTAATAATGGTATGAAAACATGATCCATGATGTGAATGAATAAGGATAGAAGCATTCACATGCATAGTCAAATAAAATTTTATTTGACTCCATTATCAATTCTTCTGAAGAAAGCCTTCTCATGACTACATTAGGATAATCCTGAGGAGATTTTTTTCTCAGTGGAAGTCTCCAGAATTTTTTCTAATGAAACAGAATGTGGCAAAACTGATTTCATGTCCCACTTCCACATCCACTTGATCCCCTTTCCAGTCCTTCACCAATGTCTCCACCATACCTGGATCCTTAGCTACTGTCTCCTCACTCTCCATCTTCCAAGCCTCTTTGTTCTGCCACACAGGTGAGCAGGTCTGGGTGGTCAGTTAGCCCTGCACATGGGAAAGAGATTGTTCAGTAAACATGGGTATATCTAACACATGACTGTGCTCAGGAGATGAAGAGAAAACTAAATACAGGATTATAAAATGATTCCCGAACTGTCCTGCAGGATCAGAATACTGAAAACAATTAGAAAGCATTTTTAGTTATTGTAACTTGAATCCCACTTCCAATCACAGCTCAGTCAAAACTCAGGGGCAGAAATGAAACTGAATGACTGGGAAGAGAATATTATACACTAGTAGGGTTCTGAATTTATCATGGACCAATAATGATGAAGCCCTACACCTCCCAAAGGGACACTCTGGAAGAAGAGAGAACATTTCATGAAAATGTTCTTTTTTCCTTTGCGGATTTCATTTTATTCTGTGGCATGTGAGACTCATTCACAGAAACCACACACACTGGCAGATTAGTTTGTCAAGAGATACCGAGGAGAAAGGGAGACTGCAAGCAAACAATTCTCAGCCACAAAAACCATACTGCTGCAATTTTTTTCTTTTTCTTTTTTGTTATTGTTTTTTATGAGACAGGATTTCTGTGTGTATCAGCCCTAGCTGTCCTGGAACTAGCTCAGTCGACCAGGCAGGCCTTTAACTCACAGAGATCCTCTTGCCTCTTCGTCCCATGTGCTGCGATTAGAGTCATGCACCACCACCGCCCAGGTATACTGCTGTAATTCTGCAATGTCAGGTGTACAGTGTAGCAGGGGTTGGCTGAAGAAAGAGGGCACTCCAAGATGAAGTTTTAAGGTCTATGTGACATTAAGAAAGCCCATACTAGGCCGGGCGGTGGTGGCGCACGCCTTTAATCCCAGCACTTGGGAGGCAGAGGCAGGCGGATCTCTGTGAGTTCGAGGCCAGCCTGGGCTACCAAGTGAGTTCCAGGAAAGGCGCAAAGCTACATAGAGAAACCCTGTCTCGAAAAACCAAAAAAAAAAACAAAAAAAACAAAAAAAAAAAAACAAAAAAGAAAGCCCATACTTTGATGAACTGAATCCGGAACACCCATACAAAGGTGTATTTATTGAAAGTTACACAAAGTATTTCCTCAAACCAAGCTTCCTTATCTCATTTACATGTCTTACTAAAGGAAAGCATCACATGCCCCCATGACTTTAGTCCTTTATTATGTATCCTTTGCAATACACAACAATACAAAAGCCTCAGGTGTGCCTGTGGCATCTTGTGACCAAAGTCTCGGGATGGCTACAAAGCCCTTTCAGCAAAACAATTCTATAGATCACGGGATGCATTCACTGTTTCCACAAGGATTCTTTAAGGTCAAAGTACTTCAAAAAAAAAAATGGTTGTTAAATTTAATGTTTATCCAAGAAACAGTGACTCTGCTAAATTCCTACAACACTACAACATAGTCCCAGCACAAAGCCCTCAGGGCAGGGTCCAGGCATTGTCACTCTACTTGGAAGTAGTCAAAAGCCACACCACTGGCTGTCAACAGACCACAAAGTGAAAAACAACAGTTTGACTTGCCCTGTTGGTGCACACCTTTAATCCTAGCACTTGGAAGAAACAGGTCAGTGGAACTCTATGTTTTCTAGTCTAGCCTGGTCTATATAGTGAGTTCTGGGCCAGACAAAGCAACACTGTGAATTCAGGTCTCAAATACAGCAAAACCAGAACAAAAAAAAAAAAATAAATAAATAACAGTTTGGTTATGTATCCACGGACAGGGTGTTTTCTTGGTCCAAGGAGCCTGTAGGGGGCCTAAAACAGCTTGACCACACAGCTGCCATGACACGCTTAGAAGCCCAGACACAGCTTCTGTACAGGCTTACTGACAGGCAACATCCAGACCCAGGCCAACACCCATAAGCTGACCCCACTGTGGGAGCTGGTTTTCAGGTTCCTCGTGGCTTTACCCAGCAGGTCCGCATAGAGGATGATTGGACCACTAGCCCTGAGTGCAAGTGTCTGAGACGTTCTGCACTTGACTGTGCTGAGGGGAGGTCTTTTGCTCAACCCCTTGGCATTTCTATAAATACCTTAGGGCAGAGAAAGCTGGAGCCCCTTGGAATAGGTTCCAGGCTCTCTCAAGGCTATCCTGTATTTCCTGTCTTTTTATCTCCACAATTAAATCCTTCTATCTAATATTTCCTGCTTCTCTCACTCAAGAAAACTTTGGGGAATTTCGGAGTTGGTGGGTAAACACCCCGTACCCCACCCAGGGAGGGCCTACACCTAAAGACACCCCAAACATTCCAACCATTAAACAGGTTAGATAAGGTGGCCAGATGTCCCTGAGGCTAGCACACACCTATATTCTGTTTTACCGATACCCCTAGACAAATGTCAGCCAATCAGGGTGCTGAACCGTGGAAATCTCTTCACCCCAACCTCTGCTATGATTAAAAACTCTACCCTGCCTGGGCGCAAGGCTCTCTGCTCTCACGACTGCATTGGACAGACAGAGAGACCAAGCTCAGAGCTTGAAAATAAAGGTTCTTTGCGTCTACATATGGGATTAGTTTTCCGTGGTGGTCTTTTGGGGGGTCCCCATGATCTGGGCATAACAGACAAAAGACTACTATAGACATTTTTGATATAGGTGAATTATCACAATTATTCAAAAGATGCTTTCTAATATCATTCTATACTATAATGCATTTAAATTTATTTTTTCCTTTTCTGTTTTCCCCTGAAGCAGAGTTTTCCTGCGTAGTTCTGGTTGTCCATTAAGTCACTATGTATCCCCTGCCAGCCTCCAACATCTGCAGTCCACCTGCCTCTGCCTTCTGAGTGTTGGGATTAAAGGCCTGTGCCACCAGGCCTGGCAAAGACACTTCTCAGAATGCTGTATTTACATTGCAGTATGCATGTGTCCCGGATGGAAGATTAATGGTGGATAAAAGTTTACTTTTAAAAGTCAATGTTTACAAGTAAACTGTAGAACTAGCAAAATGATATACTTTCAGATTCAATGAAATTTGCAGGCTTTCCTTTCATGACTATAATCTAAAAGCTCTCGGCGAATCCAAGTCTCCAGGCAAATGTACCACTCTCTTAAATATGGAAACGGTATAATAAGGAAGTTTGTATTGATGGTAATTTCAAGAGCTTTGTCGTTTCAACCATAGCAAAGAGAATGTGTTTGCACATCTTAACGGGTAAATTCAAATATTTGATATTATTCTTACAAGAATATTTGGGCAATCAGAAGAGCAATTGAAAAAAATCATCTTATTCCATATGATCTAAAATACACCAAGGGAAAGACATTCACAGTAGAACTTCAGAGCCGGCTTCCTTATCAACAGCAGAGAAACTGCTCGCACCCCCGGTCCCTCCCCTCCCGTGTCCCAGCCCCGCAGCTCCTCTGACCTGGGAGGTTCCAGGGCCGCCGGGCTGCGGTTCCCGCCACTGTGCTGCTGACTGGTGACTTTCCCAGGCCGCCCCCCGTGGCCACTGCAGCTCCGGGGAGTTTCGGGTCCCGAATACCCGGCTGGGTCTTCCTCACCCAGTTCTGACACCAAAGATCCTGACGTCCGACAGGGAATGGTGGGATTTCCTGTAACTTCAGCCTGGTTCTTGAACAGACTCCTCCTGCACCCTCCCACTAAAAAATCCACTTCCGGTCAAGGAGCTACTGCAAAACCGCCTACCCCGGGCTCTTTTTTTTTCGGGGGGGGGGGGTAGTTTCCCAAGACCACCCCACTGATTCTTTTCCCTAATCTCCTCTGATTGACAGGTGTCCCCGCCCCATCGGAGACCCGTCCCTCTTACCCTGTCTCAGGCGCCTTCCACACAGCTCCAGCTGTCAGGCTGCCCTGGACCCGCTCTGCACAGTCTTCCCACATGCTCGCTCCCAGCCTGGACCAGACCTGCTTCTAGGAGGACGCTGCACCCCGAAATCTGACCACCAGCCTGGATTCTGAAACCTTCAGATAAAAGACAGGTAGCCAAATCTCGACTTGACTACCAGCCTCCCTGGCTACAACCTACACCAAACGATAACAGGCTAAATTCAGATGCCAGCGTCCCATCGTTAACACACACATGACAAGCCAAAACCAAACACTGCAATTGTAACTTGCAAAGAGACATTTCAGGAACTTGGATTTTGAAAAAGAAATAGGTGTCTCAAGAAGTCAGTGGTCAAGCCCACTTCTAAGATCCCAGGGCTGAGTTCACCCCGCGCTCTATTGCTCTCACCACTAGATGGTGGTCTTGTCGTTTTACTATCGAACAAGTGTTTGTGTTGTGACTCGTGCTAAAGATGCTTGTAGATAAAATATGCAAAAAAAAAAATTTAATGTAGTGGTGAATGCAGAGACCCTTGGCTGTCCCAAATGCAGAAAATGAGTAAGGTATGTAGTCCCAGTCCTGAAAACATCAGTTACACCTTCCCACCTATGGCTCCTGGAACACCGAGGAAGAGGAGGAGGAAAGGGAATAAGAAGGGAAAGAGGAGGAAGGGCTAAGACTTGCCATTCTCTAGACTCCACACAGCTGTTGTAATCAGTAACCAACAGCAGCTGTACTGACCTGCATTGACCTCACACTAGACCACAATCAGTCTAGGAAAGGGAAAGGCTCACAGGGCACACCCTTTACCTCTCAAATGTTGGCAATGGGTGGATTGTGGGAGAAGAATCACTGCCTTTGGTTGTAGTCCTCTGCTGAGCCCATCAGGCTCCAACACATAGCTCCAAAACCACAGTCTCAGTGTGGCCCTGGTCAATCTCAGTCTGTCCCAAGCAAAGTGAATGGAGATAAACACAACAGAGATTTGTTGGAATTGTGGAGCAGGATAGTAGAGAGGTAGGAAGTGAGAATGGACAGTATTTGAGGCACACACACACACACACACACACACACACACACACACACACACACTTATCTACATACACCGTGTCTTAAATATACAACCAAATGGAGAAAGAACCAATTACAGAATTTTTTAAATGAGCACAGCTGTCTTTCATTTCCTTTTTATTGTATCAGTACCTGGTTTAATATCAGGTTATACTGAGAGTCAGGATGTCTTCCTTTTTGTTTCAAGTATTTATATAGCTTTTCTGTTCTTCTCTTAAGTTCTGATAGAATTCTGTCAATCATGGCATGGTGTTGTTTGGGGAGTTGCATGGGGGGGACTCATTTTATTACTGCTTCAGTCTCATTGCTGCTTGTGTTTACATTTTTATTTCATGTGTTTAAATTTCACATGTTATGTGGATCTGGAAACTCATCTATTTCATTTAGAGTTTCCAATTCAGTGGATTAGAGGTCTTCAATATCAGTAGAAATAATATCCACTTGTTTACTCATGTCTATCAAGTCAGCTGTTATGACAGGATAATAAATGTATAGTTTGCAAGGTTATGCAAGCCTTTAGTCCCAGCACTCAACAGGCAGGGGCAAGAGAAACTGTGAGCTCATGGCCAGCCTGGTCTACATACTGAGTCTAAGACAACTGTTAATAAACAGAGAGTCCTTGTTTCAAAACAAAGAAAACTTCACCCTGAAGAATAGCTTTCATGGTACCAGAAGCACCATTCAAGCTTCCAAAAGTGGAAGCCAATGACCAGTCTTATCTAGATATGATGCTTGTCGTAGTATTTGCTCCACTCATGAGCGTGGGCCATAAGCCCCAATGGAGGCAGTGCTTCCTGCCATTGTATGTGACCTCTTATAAGGATCAGGGAGAAGGGGCCTGCTGTACAAATTGAACAAGCAGGACACAGAAGAAAATGACTGACGAACTTTGCCAAGAGAAGTTGGGACAGTCCTTCAAAAATCCTGCTTTACAGATAAATCTGCCAAATCTGTAGGCCGAAGTTGGATGCCCCAGTGTTGCAGAGGAACTTTGGGTGAGTGTCCAGGCAGCCTGATGTCTCTGTCATTAGGCAACATTACATCCTTCTGGAGTCTTTGATGGAGTTGAAGACTAGATAGTTATAGTTTTCTTTAGTGATAATAAAAGAAAATTAGATACAAAACTTTAGATTCACCAAGGTAAGGTATATAATTAGGTATTTTCTTATGCAAATGCAAATGTATTGTATATTATTGCTATAATTCTTACTTAATAACTGTTTTTGTTTTACTATATTAATGTTAAAACTTTCCTTTTTAATTAAACCAAAAAGGGGAAATGCTGTGGGATAAAGCTCTTGTACACTGTAAAGATTTGTCACTCAATTTGGTTTAATAAAGCGCTAATTGGCCAGTAGCCAGGCAGGAAGTATAGGTGGTGTGACCAGACTAGGAGGTCTGGGAAGAAGAAGGGTGGAGTCAGGAGTCACCAGCCAGATGCAGAGGAAGCAAGATGAGAATGCCACACTGAAAAAAGGCACTAAGCCATGTGGCTAAACATAGATTAGAATTATGCATTAACTTAAGTGTAAGAGCTAGTCAATAATAAGCCTGAGCTAATGGCCAGTCAGTTAAAATTAACATAAGCTTCTGTGTGGTGATTTGGGAAGCAGCTGCTGGGTATTTGGAAGTTGTTGGCAGAACAGAAACTTCCACCTACAGATGCCTATGAAACACACTAGTGATCATCATGGTACAATAACCCTGAGTACAGTAGGGCCAAGCATACCTTGATGGTAACCAACAGCTCTCAAATTGGACTTAAGAAATTGTTAACAAAAGAGAAACCATGACTGGTACTGGAAATCAGGCTAACTACTCAGTTCGGGTAAAGTCATGAATCTTGGAGGAGAACCAACAACCACCACTTTACTAAACCAGCATAATCCCTAACAAAAATCTAAACATTTTCCTTATACCCGCAGATAAGTCTAGTCTTCACCTGTCATCAAGGGAACATCTCTTTGCAACAGACAGAGAAGACTACAAATAAACCACAACTAATCAAAATGCAGAGTGGTAGTTGCCAGGCCAAACAGATACATATATAAAACACTCCTGAATATAAGGCTCAAGGAAAATTTTTGAAGAAGGGGGTATAAAGGTTGTAAGAGCCAGAGGATCAGCAAGTTCACCGAGAGATTGTGCCTACATGTGTATTAGTGACAGTTCTCTAGAGCAACAGAACTAATAGAATCTCTCTCTCTCTCTCTCTCTCTCTCTCTCTCTCTCTCCCTCTCCAATGGCTAGCTGTGAACAAAAAGCACAAGAATCTAGAAGTCATTACACAAGGCTGGGTGTCTCAGCTGGTCTTCAGTATATGCTGGAATATTGAAGAAGGAATATTCAGTGAAGGAATAGATGTGCTAACAAGGCTAGGGCAAGCAGACAAGGAGCAAAAGCTTCATTGTTCCATGTTGTTTATAGACTTCCAGCAGAAGATGTGGCCTAGAATAAAGTTGTATCTCTGAGCCTCATGATCCTTTTCACACACCTGTGTCCTCTCACATCAAGATATGGATTAAAGGCTTTTGTCTTCCTACCTCAAAGATCTGAACTAATAGTGGATTCACACAGTTCAAACCAAGCAAAAATAATCTCTCACAGGTGTGCCCTATATTTCTGGATTGTAGTTTATTCCAGATGTAGTAAATTAGACAAGCAAGAGTAGCCATCACAAGTCCATCATCCCTTGCAATCATATCTCCTTATTTATGATTAATTTCCAATTGAAGACAATAAACAGGTCATAATAACAGCCAAACCTAATATAAATATAACCAATACAATTGCAAATGCATTGTGTATTTAACCATGTTGTAATTACACCTAACATGATATAACTCACTGTCATACACATTTGAAATTTAGAATAGGTGTCAATGTCTCTTGTGGACACGACTTTAGTATCTTGAATTTAGATATGATAACCATTGATATTCTCTTAATTGGTGTTACATCACTTGATAAAGAAACTGAAAGAAAACACAAATATCTGTACAAAAACATTCTTAGGAAAATACAATAGAAACACTAATGCCACCTTTAATTTTCCCTTCTGTTACTGGTCAAATGGACTTAATAAGTATTTATAACTTTCTTTCTATACTACCCATTCTGTATTTCCTCCACCCTCAGCAGGTCTTGGCTCCTTTCCTGGAAAGTGATTTATTCCTTCATTCCTGATGTCTCTGTGCCCTTTATCATCCTTCCTGGATTAGGCTGTTGTCCATTGACTTTAATCACAGGACATAGTAGCACTAAGAAATGCCCTAAAGGCTCTCCTGCACTGCAGACATAATCCCTCTAATCCACATTGTGGAGAGGCAATCCAATTTCCCCATGATAATGTGGATCAGTCACCCTCCTAACATTGTTAAGAGTTGTTAGTTGTTATAGGCAGAGTTTTACAGTGTCTCAACAGCTGCTCCCAAATAACAACAAAGAGGCTTATATTAATTGTAAATGATTGGCCAAAAAACACAGGCTTGTTACTGGCTAACTCTTATATTTCAAATTAACCTATATTTCTTATCTATGCTCTGCCACATGGCTTGGTACCTTTTCTCAATACAGCAAGTCCATCTCCTTCTCTCTGCATCTCCTTGCAATTCTAAGAGACTCCTCTACTTCATCATGCTCTCTTTTTTCTGCAAGTCCCAACTAGATTCTACCTCTTCAGCTATTGGTCAAGCAGCTTCTTTATTAACCCAATTACAGTAACACATATTCACTCAGTATAAAGGAATATTTCAAAGTTATTCCTTTCTCATCTTTTTGGTTTAAGGGCATTAGAAGCCCCAAGTGACCAAGGGGTGTCTGAGCTTCCATTTTAATAGGATGTTTGTTTCAGTTCCTGGCAGGAATCCTCCTGTGCTTGGATCCAAGAATTCTGGAGTAGCAGAACTTAATGTTGAGGAAATGGGAAGCAAAAATTTTCTAGTGGGCCATTAGGGGTAATAGTAAGTGGAACTATTCCCCTTTCTTCCTTTTGAATCCTGGGACAACTGGATCCTCAATATGGGAGACACCATATGATATATTGAAGACTGATTCCAAGCTTGCACTGCCTTCTGTAGAACCCTGCCACAGCCCTCCAGGCTGCTGCCACCTAATTGGCCCTGTAACTGTTTCTTCAAAAAGCCATTCCTTCTTTCTATATGGTCAGCTACTTCAAGATGGTAGTAAACGTGGTAAGATCAGTGGATTCCATGATCATGGGCCCACTGTTTTACTTTTGTGTTGTGAAGTGAGTTCCTCGGTCAGAAGCAATACTGTGTGGAATACTTTGACAGTAGATAAGGCATTGTGTAAGTCCACAGATTGTTATGGGTTATTATTTTAAGATGTGTTATATTTGTTCATTCTGTGGAACATTTGGATAAAGATGCAAAGATGTGTTGCATTCTTTTATGTTGAATTTGTTTCACTCTGTGAAGCTCTGTTACATTGTCTGTCTAAAACACCTGGTTTATCTAATAAAGAGCTGAATGGCCAATGGTTTAGCACAAAAGAATAGGCAGGGCTGCCAGACAGAGAGAATAAATAGGAGGATAAATCTCAGAGAAGGGAGCAAGAAAAGAAGGAAAGGAGGACTCTGGGGGCCTACCACCCTGCTACAACCAAGCCACGGAGTAAGAAGTAAAGAAAGGCATACAGAAAAAGGGAAAGATAAAAGCCCAGAGGCAAAAGATAGATGAGTTAGTTTAAGTTAAGCAAGGCTGGCTACAAACAATCCAACCTAAGGTCAGGCTGTCTTAAGAAAGAATTACTTGGGTGATGTGTGGTGGGCACCCCAAAAGACTAAAAGTAAAAAGAATAAAATAACAACCAGCAATAACAGATGGTGATTTTGCCAGAAGCATCTCATGCAGGAAAGGCAAATTCATAAGCAGAATAAGTATCTACTCCAGTAAGGACAAAGCATTATCCTTTCCATGGAAGAAGTGGTCCTATGTAGTCAACCTGCCACTAGGTTGCTGGCTGGTCACTCTGGGGAATGGTGCCATATCAGGGGAATAATGTTGGTCTGTGCTATGGGCAGACCTGGCAT